TGCGCTGGTGATTAGAGATCATAAATGTCTAAAGTCGGTCAAGTAAGCTCCCATAAACTGTTAGAAATCAGTACTAAAGGGATTATAATCAGTATTGATATTGATATTCTCCGAGCCAGCGTATTCATGGGTAAGATTGGCAAATAGAAAAATCCCTTTGATGGGTTAATTTACTCCAGTAGTTTTGAAGCAACCTTGTAAAATGGGCCCCGAAACTATGCAAACAGAATATAGAAAAAAGCAAAAGGATGAACGTATAGGCGAATAGAGAGATGGCCACATTATAAGGCAGAATACGAAGAGGCCATTACATAGATACACAAATAAATAGTTGAAGATGAATTGAATGATAAACAGTAACAATACTACAACTAACTTCGAAAATGGGCATACAGCCGAACGGATGGAGGGAATGATGAGAAAATGCAAATGGATTGTTAAAAAGTGGAGTTTGCAGAATGGATGAAGGCAAGCTGGGCTTCGAAAACGTCTTGGTGATTTGGTGCGACATATCTTATAATTTCTAATGAATAGTTGGTCGGAAGGAATTAATGAATTGGCCTCATTGGAAACTGAAGGAGTGAATAAAGTTGGATTGTTCGATAAGGTTCTTTGCGTTACACATAAATTGCACTTTCTCACTCTGACGATGACTGTCACGATGGTATAAACAGGATATTGGCACAAATTCATTTTGGCAGTCTTTATTGCAGGTCAATCCTCCATCGTTTTCCGGGGAGAACAATTCACAAATTCCTCGAAGCAACTTTTCCCTCGAAATGCAAAGTTGTATTGTCAAACTATACCAATTTCGACTGATTTCCTGTTGGGCTGATAATGATACTGCTTACAATAAATTGAAACGAACGTATGGTTTTCGCAATGGCTCGCACTTTAATATGCATATCAAAAGGCTCTAGTCACCAAGGCCACATCTTTAATCGCGGGCCGATTAGTTATTAATTTGATAAAAAGCCAGTCGAGACTGACATACCCGGCTATGTAATTACTAAGAGGCAAAGAAAAATCTATTACTTAGTGAATAGGTGTGTCTAATGTTTAGTAAGGTGAAAATGAGTACATCGTGGCAGCCTTCAGATTTCTAATGGGACCTACCAAAGTGAATACTAGGGATGCTTTAGGGAGTTTTAGAAAAACTCGCGCCTAGCTATTGATACTAAAGTCTCCAGGACAGATGGTAGTTAAGCCAGTCTTCGTAAGTCATGCTTCGCGGGTGGGTTGACGAGGCTAGGTGCTGGTGGCCAAGGGGTAATGCGCCTGCCTATCAAACGCCCGCTCGGCGGAAACCGAAACCAACCACGCTGGTGCCGCCCTTTTGGAATGGTTGACTCAGTTAATTACCTTACCATACCAAGCCTTCTACAGGTGGTCATAGTTACACTGGCAATCGTTAATTCTAGTGCCAATCCAGAATCTAGAGTCAAACTGAAAAAGAACCAGGCAGATAGACAAAACTGAACGAAATCGTATACATACCTAGAGAAAGTGAAAGGTATACAACTAATATACAAGGTATAAAAATACACACATACAAGCAGACCAATAAAAAGGAATAAAGATAAAAATGAAGGTTTACATCATTACAAATGGGATGTGAATATACAAATAACTAGTTAGCAAGCTAATAAGTTACATATTGTATATTAAAACTAGTATAAAGGTTACTAGATGAAATGTATGCCGATGGCTATACAGACAGACAGACAGACAGATAAAGTTCTAGTCACCCTAGGTTGCATAACGAGATGAAAGACTGATAGTTGAATTCTCCCACATTCAAAAAAGTAGGCCTAACGATACCATTAAAGTTTGCTTCATCCTGCTTCCTAGAAGCTATTCTCATAAATGGTAAACTGAAGTTTTGACCTCGGATGACTTAGGGTGGCTAGAACTCGAATGTTTAAGATCTAATGATAGTCTCGAAACCTACTTACTAGGCGGTTAAATGCACAAAGTTATCTACAGACAGGAGTGGGCAAGTGGAAGGATAGATGGGAAGCCATAAAAATTTACAAGTGGGCATACATGTGGATAGCCAGTGGAGGACATTCAGAACTATTTTAAACGGATATACAAAATTGAAATAGTCAAATATTTCCCTTTGGCCCAACTATATAGTTATACATGTTAGTAGATAAAGGCAGACTGCCAAGCTGTAAAACATACGGATGGATAAGCAGTGCTATATATTGACATAGAGACAAACGGATGCACATACGGATAGGCAGACATGCAGATAGCTGGGACTGAAGTGAGGATTTATCGCGTATGCTTTACTCGCATGTACAAATCGAGTACATTTACAGGCGATAGCCACTCTTACATAAACCAAGCATGTGCAATGGTGTGGGTTGAGGCTCATCTAAGGGACAAGTTGAAGTCTGCCGTCTTGTAGTCTATCGTGGAGGTACAATGAACAGAAGGCCAGGCGATTCGGTCTAGCAATAGAAGGAAGTGCTTGTAGGACGGGCGAAATTTTGCGCTTAGCAAGGAGTTTGGGGATAGATGTAACCTAGATCCAGAAACTGCTTAACAAGCTCGTATTGACGGAAATCAGGATAAAAGGTTAAAAAAAGAAGGGACAAATGGGGAAAATGCTTTCGGAAATGGATAATTTAGGAAAATATGAGATAAATAGGCCTAGAATACGTTGTTTGCCTATATATTTGTGCATAATTTGGAACTCTAGGAGGAAATGATCCTTTCCTTAACTGGCAGACAGATGGATAAAGGAGCTGTATACTCAATTTAATTGCATAACGTAGGAAAACGCAAAATTATACATAATTACATATGAAAAGCAACTATGTTTCGATGAATCTCATGAGATATAAATGTTGGAAAGACTTTCCTTTTGTTTGAAAATGCCTGAATAGATTCGATGATTCGATGAATCTCATGAGATATAAATGTTGGAAAGACTTTCCTTTTGTTTGAAAATGCCTGAATAGATTCGAAGGCTGATCTCACCAAAAGACGGCAGCTGATTCCTGTTTTACTGCAGCCGTTTGGCTT